ATGTGAGGCATGCTTTGGAAATCTATCACCAGATTATCATTTTGATATTTGCAGGAATTAACTCCTGGTTTAAAACCATTTGTCAGGCTTCCGATTTTTTGGTAGAAGTTTCAGCCATATTCCTGTCGCCCAGCTTCTCAAGCTCTTTGTACTCACATTTTTCTGCTTCTTTCTTTTTTCGTCAGAAAAGAGGTGTCTCTTTTGCTGATATCGTCTTTTGCAGTGCGCGTCCGCAAGGTGGCTTGATATGCTGCATCTTTCTCTGCGGTCCCGACACTCTTGGTTGTACCAGTTGTTTCTTTGTTTATGGTGATAAACAATCACCTCTTCAGCTGTACACATAGAATGAGAGATGTTATTCCATTGTGCGCATATATCGGTTTCTTCAGCTTAATTTTTCTGATACTGGGAGAGTCGAGTAGTGAAGTCATATAAATATATAACATATGTATATATACACATAGCCAATAAAGTCTGGGTAGATCTTAAAAATTTTGATATGTGATATAGAAATACAACATAAATAAATATTTTAAATTAAAATTTTTACATATATTTATTCTTTGAAGTCTTAAGTTTAAATAGCAAAAAACAAAAATTGTGTTCGTTTGTTCATTATTGAGATGACGGGATAAAAGTGTTCCTGCATGTAAATATAGGCCACATAAAATCTGCGTACAGTTATAAAAAAAGCTGATAAAATCGGTAGAAATATTAAAAATAAGGCTAAATTTAATACACTGTTGCTGTTTTAGAACTTCAGTTAATCTCTTTGGAATGGAATTAACCAACTTCTGAGTTTCTTCAGTAGTAATTTTCGCCCATTCTGCTTGCATTGTAATCCGTCGCCTCTTTACTTGGTATCACATGCTGACGAATTGTTTTTTCCAATAAATCCAAAAGATGCTCAATGGGATTGAGATCAAGTAATTCTCGAGTCGTTTTAAGCTGTCTTGGAACGTTGTACAAAAGCCAAAGTTTAACTATCCCCGCTGCGTATTTCAGATCATTGTCTTGTTGGAACCAAAATGTCATGGATAAGCCAAAATTATCTGCACTTTGTTTCAAATTTCTTTTTAAAATGTTTAAATAGCCCCATTTATTCATTGCCGATTTTATAAATTCCAACTGGCCTACACCATCAGCTACCATGCACCCCCATACCATAACTCCACCACCGCCGAGTTTGACTGTACCAACAAGATTTTGTATTTGATTTCGTCTGAAAATATCATATGTTTCCAGAACTCCGGAAGTTTATTTATGTATTTCTTTGCATATTCAACGCGCTTTTTTCGGTTAACAAGTGAAATATATGATTTCTATCTAGTGACCCTACCACGATATTCAGCTTTATGTTATACTTTTCCAGCAGTCTCCGCACAAATACTTTTTTTAAATGAATGGTTTACATATTTCACAATTTTCGAAGAAGAAATACGATGGTTAATATTGATCATATGAACTATTTTTCGCTTTTCTCGGACTGATAAAAGTTTCGGACGTCCAGGACGCGGTTTTGATGAATGCGTTCTTTCAATAGTTTCACAAATTTTTCGGCAACTTTTTCCATCTTTCCATAGTTTAATAATTATTTTTTTTCGTGCATACTGATTTCTCTTTCCCTTAATTTCATACTTTAAAATAGTTACTACTTAAAAATTAATTGATCATGAGCTCGCAAAATGTTAAATTCAAATGCTTAATAATACCAATTGAGCAAAAATAAGAACAAACTGCATGAAAATTAACGGTATTATCTAAACAAACAAACTGTACGCAGACTTTATATGGCCTATAATTACATGCAGGGACACTTTTATCTCGTCATCTCAAGAATGAACAAACGAACACAATTTTTGTTTTTTGCTATTTAAACTTTAAACTTCAAAGAATAAATATATGTAAAAATTTTAATTTAAAATATTTATTTATGTTGTTTCTTTATCACATATCAAAATTCGTAAGATGTACGTAGACTTTATTGGCTATGTGTATATAAATGGTTGTATTTCAGCAAACAATAATCCGTTCAATTTTACATGGAAAACAATAACAATGGGGTGAACCGTGAATTGATCTGGTTCACATTCTGGTTCAATGTGCAATGTATGTACAAAATAAAAGTGGAACGTATTTTAATGAAAATGTCGTTGAGAATACTATTTTAACACATGATACGGTACAGTAAAAATTTTAAACAAAACTACATTAATATTTATTTATTAATTATTTTATTTATCTATTTAATTATTTATAATATGTTTTTATTATTTAATTTTTTTGTTTTATCTCTTTAAACTTATGTCATATTTTAATTGTTATTATAATTAAAATTATTACTTTAATTAAACAGGTTTTATTTTTATTGGAAATTGTTGTTTATTAAATTAAAATAAATTGAAATAAACATATAAAAATTAATATAAGGGGTATTCAGGATGTCTGTGCATCGTTGAATGTGCATCATTGCAAACTCAAATATTCGTGAACGCACTTTGTGCATATTGGTCTTGAAAATATTTAGAACAGCTGATTTTTGTTTTTGTATTTATTTACTTGTAAAATATAACTCAAATTCGATTTGCATAATTTTAAAAATGCCAAGAAAAAGTGAAAAGCACAAAATATTGAATACTGTGCTGGATTTTGCTGTTGCGGAATTAATGGGTAATTTAGATTGGTGCATTTATATGTTTAATATAGCAGTATATTTATATTCATACAAATTTCAGAAATTGATAGTGATGATGACGATGCAATGAGTGAAATTTTTGATAATTTAGAAGAAGACATTTCCACTGTGCTTATGTGCCATCGTCGAATTTCATCAAAAGTTCCAAAATCTATTGAATGGTCCAATGATCATCGCCTGTGATTATAAGCTGCATGTTGTTGTTGGCATGATGCAAATATAAATCGTAAGACATGGCAGAAATGGTGAAATGAAACGGCAAGAAGTATTTTCATTAATATTTAATGGTTAAATATAAATATTTGTAATAAATTATCAAGAAAATAAAAAAAAGGAAAGAATACTCAATAGCAATAATATTTATTATATATATGTATACATATAGTAATTGATAACGTAATAACTTAAAAAATTAGATTTGCCGAACATGATTTCTATATTTCAGATCTAGCTCGTACTTCGCCAAACGTTTCTTCGATTGTAATTCTGACATTTTTATATGTACACTGCTTTATATTTACAACTTTAACAGTTCAACAGGTATCAATTTCTTCAAGACCTGCGCCTATTGAGTTACACCTCTCACTTTATTTCCCGTAACTTTGTCTTAAATGGCGTACTTTAAACCGCAACATATTCCAAGTTGCGATAATATTTTTTGATTCTATAAGTTTCCTATAAAACATTTGCGCTGTTGGAGTCTAATAGAATACAAAAAAAGAAATGAACTCGATAGACAAATATATAACATATATACCTTAAAACCTTCAGTTTCCTCAAGGAAATCTAGAATGAGATTTACCTCATTGTTGGTCCACTTTTTGTTGCTACATCTTCGAGTACTTTTGGCCAGCAGCTCCGACATTGTTGGACGTAAAATAAATACAAAATCAAACAATTGTATAAAATCATAAAATTACAAAATGACAAAATAAAAAAAAACGACCGTTTCGCTAAAGTATTGCCCAGCGAACAATAAAAAAAGTAGTATCATTCACAATAGAGTCTTGAAAATCAAATATGCAAGAGGTAATTGGTGTTGAAAATATGGTCTTGAATATTGTCTTGCAAATCAAGTGCAGAATTATTTACAAGGGAATTGTTTTTGTAAAATCAAATAATTTTGCACATGCAACGATGCACAGACATCCTGAATACCCCTATAAATTCTTTTCATTAAACAGAACAATACAAAATTTTCTGGTAGAATAAAGCATTTGTAAATTAATCAATTTAAAATTATTCGATGCTACCAATAGCTGCGTTTCAGCAAACATGATCCGCTCAATGATTTGGATCATCTTTGCTGAAATGATACGGATCACGAATGAAAATAATTGGCAATGCATGAATTATACCAGTTGGGTTGGTGTACAAAATTTTTCGATTTGTGTGAATAATTTTGGCACTAAAGAAATAAGTAAGAAAAGTTTGAATACAAAAAATCTAAAAAATAGAAAAAAAATAAAATCTGTTGAACTGTCTGAAGTATTAAATGTAAGTTTTTATTTAGTATTTAGTTTAAAACTTAAGTTTTATACTATAGTAAATAAATGAAAATTGCAGATTTCATAAGAATCTTCGATCGAAACTGACTCTTCCATTCCCTTTTTAAATACTAGTTCAAGTGTATTAAGCTCAAATGATTAATATATATTCGAGCAACATAAAAGACCGTTCTTGTTCTACGGTTTGAAACAGACTCCATATATTATATTTATGTTTATATAGAATAGTATTCTTATTTCTATCTTAATTCTACACTAAGAGAAAGAGATTGAGTGGGAGAAATTATTTACATACTGTATGAAAAAAGTGAAACACAATAATTTCATACACGCAAATATTATGTTTCTTTATTTGATCACAATTTTTAAAATACAACACTTTGTATAAATCAGCCACGCCACGATGGATAAGGTACGCACATCGCCAACCAGAAGTCAAAAAAAAGAAACGGAAAGAAGAAAAGCAAAAACGAAGCCAAAAATTATTGTTTGCCAGACGTCAAACTGCAGCTGTCAAAAACTACTAAATGGGTGATGCCATATCGCCTGGTTGCTCTGCCAAATCTCAAACATCCTGCCCGGCTGGACGAGTACGTTCAGGATGCTCCACAAGTCTGCATATCTTCTGGATAGGTCGCATGCATTCGCCTGGGTGAAGTTTAATCACCCTGCCAAGCCGCCAATGTGTTGCTGGTAGATTCTCGTGCCGGATAACCACGACATCGCCTATGTTGATGTTGTCAACATTGCCATTTGGAACGTGGTTGCAAACTTGAAAGATATTCATCATGCCATTGTCACCAAAAATGCTGTTGCATTTGCTTTAATTGTCGCCAGTATGATAATTTGTTGCTAGGCACCTTGCCAATAGGTTCACCTGGCACTCCCAATAGAGATCTGCCAATTAGGAAATCTGCAGGTGATAGAGCCATCTTGTCGTCACAAGTGTCATGCAATGGTATAAGTGGACGTGAATTCAAGCAAGCCTCGATATGTACAAGTAGAGTATGTAGCTGATCATAGTAAATGGAGTGGGTGCCAACAATGCGTAGTAAGTGCTTCTTTGCTGACTTAACGGCAGCTTTCCATAGACCGCCTTGATGAGGTGCGCCAGGTGGTAGAAAATGCCATTTTGTGCCTCGATTTGACAATTGCTGTTGAGAATATTCATTATGCCAAGCCTGTAAGTCAGCGGCCATTAAGCGATCTGCGCCAATGAACGTAGTGCCATTGTCACTGTATAAATGGTTACATGGACCACGCCGGTTTACGAAACGTGTGTAATGCATGAATGCCTCAGAAGTGAGATCTTCAGCCAGTTCGATGTGCACTGCCTTGGTTACCATGCACACAAAGATTGCCACGTAAGCCTTCCGCACGGTTCGTACAGCCTTGGAGCCAATTCGTATGTTGAATGGACCGTAATAGTTTAAGCCAGATCTTGTAAATGGTGGAGATGGGGTGATCCGAGCCTTTGGTAATGTCGCCATACGTTGTTTTAGCATTATGTGTTTATGCCGCCTACAAATCGAGCATGAGTGTATGCATTGTTTGACCAAAATGCGTGCCTGTAGAATCCAATATTTGTGTCGAATCGTATGAAACATGATTTGTATACCGCCATGAAGTGTGTCCTGATGCACCTGCCATATTAAAAGCCTGGCCAATGTGCTATCCTTCGGAAGAATGATTGGATGACGCTGTGGCTCTGCCACCCTCGCATTATGTAGGCGTCCGCCTACTCGCAATATATTGTCCCCTGTGGAGTTGATGAATGGACTCAGTGCAATGAACTTGCTGGATGTGGATATGGGCTGCGCCTTTTTCAGCTGCTTGATTTCCGCTGCGAAATATTTCGCTTGCTCTGCCTTGATGTGGTGATTTAAAGCAATGTCCATTTCGCCTGTACAGATGTGTGTATGCGAACAAAAACGCTGATGTGCCTTTTTGCAACGCAATATGTATGCAGTAGTGCGCAATAGCTTGCCAAGATGACTGAACCGGTCCAACAGATCTATGACGACCAATTCGTCGCCAGCAGTGTAGTGTGTCTGTAATGCGGGTTGACCTATTACCTGCAATGCCTTTACCTTAACTGGTTTTAACTCGCCCTCCATTATTGCCAGCTCTGCTGGTGCACAGTGGTGCAGCTCATTGATTGAATAATCAGTTGAATTAGGACCGTGCCACCATAATGCGTAGTTATGTAACGCCAAAGGGGATATGCCACGACTGGCGCAATCAGCTGGGTTGAGTTTGGTAGGAATGTGATGCCAATGCCTGATATCTGTCATCGATTGAATGCAGCCAACGCGATTAGCAACGTACTGCTTTAATTGTGATGTGTTTTTGCGTAGCCAACATAGAGCAATATTTGAGTCGGAGTATAAAGTGTATGGTACGTGCTCCAAATGCAAAGCCTGCCTTGTTTCGTGTAAAAGAGTAGCAAATAATTGCGCAGCACAAAGTTCCAATCGGGGTACTGTTACCGAATGTAATGGTGCCACTTTAGTTTTTGATGCGATAATGTGACTAATGATACTGCCATTGTGGTTTGTTGCCAAATAGAGTGCTGCAGCCATTGCCTTGACACTAGCATCGCAGAAGCCATGAAGTTGTATTTGATATCCGGGTTGCATGTCTATCCAACGCGGTATTCGCACTGCCTCCAGTTAGGACAGCTGCCTTCAGTATATGAGCCATTCTTGCAACAGTTCAAGTGGTAATGGGTCGTCCCATGCCAATTTTGTCAGCCAGAGTTTTTGTATGAAAGTTTAGCCTGTAACGACACGGATTTTGCCGTTTCGTTATAATTTATGCTGGGGTATCCGCAGTCTTTTCCAGGGGGTCGCTACAATGAATTTATAATCGCGGAGACAGGACTTCTCAAAATAAAAGTACGGCGGTTAAACTTTCAATGCAGATTTATTTAAAATATTAATAATGCATTAAAATAATATGTAATAAAGAAAAGAATTCAATTAAACGTAACTAGATAAACCTGGAGATTAACAATTTCTACAATTTTCAACGATTTATATAAGATAGCTTTATATAGATTATTATTTCTTCAATCGTATTTCAATAACTTGAGATTTTAAACGCATGCAAATTTTGAATGTATTTCCTTAGTCGTATTTCAAAGAGGTTGGTTAAATTTAATTAGATATGACTTGAGATGTTTCCTTGTGACCAGCTGTATTTGGAAGCTGTCCCTGTAGAGTTCACAGTGGTGGCTGATCCGGTTTCGTGGTTGTACCTTAGTATAATTTCGGTGATTTTTCTGCTCGATGAGTACCTACTGGACGAAACGGGGTTAGTGAATGCATATATGTCTTGTTATATTGAATATGTATATAAAGTGTCTCCGCGCCTGGACTTAAAACCGCCCATGCACTCGTAAACAAGTATATATATATTTTAATAGATTATACACCTAGGCTTAAAACCGCCCCTGTGTCAGACAATTTTTAATATTTATTTATTTTATATGTTGACATACAATGCCACCGAGTGATCATACAAGACACACTCCATTCTTAGAAAATTGCGCCGTCTTTTATACGCATTCTCTTGAACATTTTGTGTAAAGTACACAAAGCTTTGAGTTGATCTTAGTTGAACTTACTGCACTTTAACACTTTTGCACAAAAGCTTCCTTGTGCATCTTTTGCAGCGAATTGCATTCTAACGTTTTTGACGTTTGCAAATGTTTGTTTATATTTTTACTTTTTACATGTGCGCGTTTTTTTTAAATTAAATTGAATATAATTTATTAAAATAAGTAAAATTAATTAATAAGTAATATCTTAGTTTTAATAATTAATTTAATAAAATTATTTATATAAACTACGTTTCCTTTTTGTTTAAATTACTCAAAGTGACGTGTGTAAAGTGGTAGTGCAAAGGTATTTATAATTGTTTTCCAATTTTCTAAATGATAATTATATTTAATAAATTCATTTATAGAAACATCCAACATTCAAGTCATAGTATGGAGGTTGGAAATTTGTACAAAATTTCCATCTCTACAAGCCGTGATAATGATTGGTGCTAACATGCCAATTTGATCATATAATTTTCCAGCATCGCTAAGCACTTGCCATTTAGTGAGATGCTGAGTATCATAGGAGTTGACCTTGTAGAAGAGTTCATCGAGAAGTGGATCCCAATGTAAGGCAAGAACAGTGGTTTCTGCCAAATGTGGATTGAGCCGACATGGATGAGCATCGCCAAGAAGGTGTGCCAAGACTTCGGCGCTATTTGATTTCGATTTTCTGAGATGGAATTGTCCTTCTGCCAACACTCTGCCAACGGTCGCCAGTTGAATTGCCATGCCAATGGAAGGCATACTCTTAAGGTAGTCATCCACACCGAAATCATTCTGGATGCTGTGCAAAGCAGTTTTAGCTCGTAGTTCATGTGGGAGTTTATGAGATCTGCAGCATTACTCCATAGCGCGAACAGCCAAATATGTACCACTGGTTGTACCATATGTAACGGTAGCCAATTGACATGTGCGAATGGGCTGATCGGATGATTCCCGCCAGAGGATCTGTTGCCACTGCCTGTGCCTCTCGTAAACCTTGACTTGCCTGAACATTTTCTCCACATCAGCTGTGAATGCTATTCGATGCTGCCTGAAGCGAAGCAAAAGGTTAAGTAATAAATCCTGTATTGGGGGGCCATCGAGTTGTGTATCATTTAATGATATGCCATTCGACGTTTTTGCGGAAGCATTGAATACGACTCGGAATTTTGCCATGACTGCATGATGTGGAATGTAGTATGCCTGAGATGGGTCGCTTGAATGATGCTGAATAGGGTGCATGTGACCAAGTTGTTCGTATTCGCGCATAAAAGCCACATATCTTTGCCTCAGCTCTGAGTTGGATGCCAATTTTCGTTCCAACTGGTGAAATTGCCTGAGTGCCATCTGATGTGAATTGCCAAGTGGTGGAGCATCTGGTGTAAATGGTATTTGTACACAATAACTGCCATCATCAAAACGCTTATGTGTGCTCATGAAAATGCATTCGCAAAGATCAACTGCTGCTAGTTTATCGCCTTTAGCCATGTCAATTTCTTTGGATTCAAATAGCCTGTGTAGAAGGGCATCAACTCGCTCATCAGGCGCCTCCACACGCAATGCCATAGATTGTTCCGCCTTGTAGTTATGCACGGTTGCTTCAGCTGGTCCGAATACAACCTAATTGCCTAATTGCGTATTTTGTGCCACAGGATCATTAAGTTCGCCACGAACTATGCCATCTGCCAACAATTGGCCCCATACGTCTGAGCCAAGCAATGCATCTATAACACCAGTTTCGCCAAATTTCGGGTCTGCCAAAGGCAAATTGCGTAAATGCTGCCAACAGTTTTCCATGATTGGAGCCACAGGGATTGCTGAGGTAATTTTGTTGATGATGTAGAATTCAACATCCAAGCCAAATAAAGCATTGACAGTCGAAAATATGCGCAAGACTGCCCGGCCATTAGTATATGAGCGATTGCCACTGCCAACGCCTTGTAATTGCAATGCACTTTTCTGCTTCCGCAGAGCCAGTTGATTATAATATCGCGTACTCATTAGACTTACCTGAGAGCCTGGATCGCATAGAGCTCGACAAGAGTCGATATCGCCAAAGCCATTTAAGATGCGTATTTGTGCTGTTGCCAAGAGTATAACCCGATTGCCTATAGTAGCGAATGTCTGCATTGGATGGTGTAGTCACTGATGCACACGTGGTGGGATGCCAGCCTGGTTCGGTTTCGCTGGTGCCTGAGGTGTAGTTTGTGCCTGCTGTTTGGACTCTTGCAAAGGAGGAGTTTGCGCTGGTGAACTTCGGCATAGTAGAGTGTGATGCCTGCCATTGCATATGCGACAATTAGTTGAGCCACATGCCTTAGTAGAATGTCCAGGTTTCAAGCAATTGAAGCAAAGATTCGAGCCTTTAAGCAGTGTGAAGCGCTCCGCTGGTGAGCAAGCCAATAGCCTGGTGCAGTTGCCTATTTGGTGCGATGCGTCATTGCAAAACTGGCAGTGGCCTGGAGTAGTTGCTATTAGGTTTGTCCTCATTAGACGTAAGCCTGGCGTTTTATGATTAGCCTGAGATGTGCCGCGATCTTGCTGCATGCCAAAGCCATCCTCAACATAGTCATCCGCCAATATTTTTGCAGCTACCCGCTTATATGATGACCACGCAGCTGTACGCCTATTTTAGGAAGCCATATTTTCTTCGTATAAAGTCAAAAACGCAATTTAAAGTTTAATTAAAAACCGAAACTTCTGGTTTCGGCACCAACAAATGTATGAAAAAAGTGAAAGACAATAATTTCATACACGCAAATATAACGTCAAACTGCAGCTGTCAAAAACTACTAAATGGGTGATGCCATATCGCATGGTTGCTGTGCCAAATCTCAAACACATACATATCATCTCATCCACACTTTTATTTACAACAATCTATAAGTTTTCCATCATAGCTTATGTAATTTTAATTACTTTTAATTTTATGAATTTAATTTAAAATTTAGTTTTAATTAATTTTTAAAATAATTTTAATAATTTCTTTTCTATATTTAAATAATTATTTAATTTCAAAAACATCTTTTCTATATTAAATAATTAAATTCAAATTCTAAACTATTAATTAATTAATTTCCTTCAGTTGTAGTTTGCTCGTCTTTATTAGGTCGCTCAGAACGTCTCAACCCCAATGGTTTATTCTCAATATCCACACCTTGCTCTGTGTCACAGTCGTTAGCGAACGGTTTTGCTGTATCAACAACCTCAGTTACATACGTATGGACCCTAGAATTAAAAGTTACAGTTTTTCCTTTATATTTTTTCATTTGGTTGATATGCGCAACCCTGAATATACCATTTATGGATATCAAATATCTAATTCGACTTAGTTTTTTAACCACTTTTGCATGAACGTATTTAATATAATTATTTGCAATATTTTTGTACAATACCCTTTCATTGGATTTAAAGTTTATGAGTTTACTATAATTCAGCTTTCCATTTTCAAACTTACTCAATGCTTTATCATCTCCTCCATTTTGAAACTTACTAATTTCCAATTTATTTGTATTTTCCTTTTCCCTAAAATTTTTCTTAATTTTTGGATTTGTATTATCTAACAGAGTTTTTGGTTTAAATTTAAAAATTATATCTGCTGGTGACATCCTTGTTGTCGTTGTTGGAGTAGTACGATAGCTCAAAAGAAAATTATTTATTTTAAAATCCCAAGATTTACATTTCACCTATTCTTTACATCTCACCCATTCTTAATATATTTGTACGTTTTTAATAGTGCCACATCTTTCGACATTTCATTTTTGATGTCGTCAAACTTAATTGGAAGGTCGCCTATAAGGTTAAAAATATTAATACTATCGTCAACTTTATTTGTATCTTCTTGCAGAGGTAAACGAGACAGCGCGCCAGCATGTCCCATTTGCGATCCCTTCTTATACTTAATTGAGTAATCATACATTGATAAAAAAAACTGCATATCGCTGTAACCGGTTGGCTGCTACCGATGGTAGATCTTTTTTAATTGAAAAAATTTCCCGCAATGGCTGATGGTCACTTTCAATGGTAAACGGTAACCCAAAAATATAATTATGAAATTTCTTCACTTTATCGAGGAATTCTCCAAAATCGCACTCTCGTGCAAGCTGCTTCAATTCGACAATATAATCTGCAATAGTTTCACCAGTATGTTGGTCTCTTTTAAAAAATTGATAGCACTCAAAAATTATGTTTTTTGTTGGTGCAAAGTGGGCTTTTAATTTGCCACTATTTCTTCATATTTGAAGTCTATTTCACTTTTCGGTGTTAGCACGATGGTCAAGGTCTTATAAAGGTCAGCGCCTCCAAGACTTATCAGAAATGCAAAATAACCGTGAATGAAGGAATTTTATATATTTTTGTAGTATATGGCAAATATGAATACTTTTTGCGAATTTGGTATTTGTTTTGGCATACCAAAAGCTTCTGTATGGAGAATAATTGAAAGAACTAGTGTTTAGCTTATATCAATTGGACACTAATTTATAAAATACGCACTTGCTAATAATACAAAAGTGGAAGCTTCGAAAACATTTCCGTCAAAATAAATACACCACACCATAGCAAATAGGCTTATTTCAAAAGGAAGCATGACTATAGCTTAATCTTTCAGGTAGTTTGCGATGAAAATGGTTTTTTTTTATAAACGTGTATGTTGGAGAGTCTGGTTCCCTATGTATTGATCTGTTTTAATTAAATAAATGTATTCAACTTAATTTATATATATTCATTTCAAATTAATTGATTTTAATAAATTATCAAACAACATACACTTGAACTAGTAAAAAGGGAATGGAAGAGTCAGTTTCGATCGAAGATTCTTATGAAATCTGCAATTTTCATTTATTTACTATAGAATAAAATTTAAGTTTTAAACTAAATACTAAATAAAAACTTACATTTAATACTTCAGACAGTTCAACAGATTTTATTTTTTTTCTATTTTTTAGATTTTTTGTATTCAAAACTTTCTCGCTTATTTTTTAGTGCCAAAATTATTCACACAAATCAAAAAATTTTGTACGCCAACCCAACTGCATTGCCAATTATTTTCATACGTGATCCGTATCATTTCAGCAAAGATGATCAAGATCATTGAGCGGATCATGTTTGCTGAAACGCAGCTAATGTGTCGTTACAACACTAGTATCAATTATATATTGCTTAACTTTTGTATGTTATCCACTTCAAGATATTGAGGATTTATTATGTATCCTCGTTGGTTAACTTATTCCGAATGAATTTATTGTGAACTGCATCATTCTATGAACAACATATTTAATGCTAAATACATGTGCACATAATTGAATTTGTAACTGAATGTGTTCTTTGTTGTTCCATAAAATGCAATAATAGACGATCAAAAGTATCTTCTATCAATATCCTTGCCTACGAATGCAAAACATGCAGATCCGAAGATCTGCATTCTTTATTCTATTAACGTCAAAATTATTTACCCAAATCAAAACAAAATGTTGTAAATAAACACAACTGACATGACTGATGCGTTGCCAATTACTTTCATATGTGATCCGCATCGTCTTAGCAAAGAAGATCCGGATAATTGTTTTCTGAAACGCAGTTAATAATAAATTAAATCTATACAGAAAACAAATAATTCATATTGATATGCAGACCAAAAAATTGCATTTAATGTCATCAATGGCAAAAGTAATTACAAACATTCTACTTTCTTTTTATGCACGAATGTCATCCGACGAACGCATATTAAAGAAACTTGTAGTAATTTTGTTAAAAAAACACCA